AATGTTTCTGTTGTGTCGCATCGCTTGATGCAGTCAAATTGCTTGTTGCTGGAATTCTGTGGCGTCGCCTGTAGTTAGGACACAGTGTAAGACTCAACATAAATCACTATTTTAATTATTCATTAAAATATAATGAAAAAGAAAGCGCAAAATAAATAAATAAATCAGATTTTGGAAGTTAACAATAGTTTCATTTTCAACCACGACTGATAAATCTTTTGCAAGTTACGTTATATAAGGGTATAACGTTTTAAGTCTCAGCCTGTACAGTATATGCTTACGTCAAAATGATCTGTTAACATTAGTTTAGCTTATTTAAATAACAATACTAATATAGCGCAATTTCCAACATGTCATTGTTAAAAAATTTAGGTTACACTTAGCCTATTTCCAATTAAAACAGAAGATGTGTAGATTTATTTATTTTACTAACATAACAATTGGGTGCCTACAAATTGCATCTTTTTAAAGCTGCCATATTTATTTTAGCAAGGAGTAAAATCTTTGGTTTAGGTCATCGATTTCAACATTTAGTGATGATGATCTTTGGTATGCTTTTCTTAGAGAAACAACCCTCCTAAAATGAAGTTTTTATCATTTCTGAGCATAAAAACTTTCATATTATATTATATTTTTAGATTTTTGTTGAGGAGAAAGTGTTTCTTTCTGTTAGCTTGGCTGAAATAATAATAAAATGTGTTATATATATATATATATATATATAATAGTAAAAATGTATATAATAGTACAATTATTTTGACGCTGAAAGGATTGGTTTGTGCACACCAATGCTCATATTTGCTGAGATGTTCGGCTCATATCAGACACATTACTCTAGAGTTCTAGCATTAAACACATGACTGTATTATTGCTTTCAAAACCTAATCAATAACATCTCTAGATCCCAGAGGAAGATGTATTTCAGCTTTTAAAATGTGTTTTTCTTTTAAAAAAATGTGTGTGAAAATGCAGGCATGATCTGACCCATGAGAAGTGAGTGTGTAGATCAGCTTTGGTCCTCGATTTGCCCTGAGTGAAAGATTAGATTTATTGAATTTGATTCTTTATTATGAGCTAACGTTATCAAAACCTAAATGTTCATTTTTCAATTGGAAATATTGATTTAAACATTTGATGTTTATAATCTGCTAATGCCCAGATAGCTAAAGTCTACATATTTATGAACATATACACTGTAAAAAAAAAAAAAAAAAAAAAAAAAGTATCCATAAATTAACAGGTTTTCATATTTTGTGATTCATTTTTTTTTCATTTATTTATGCTTTTGAATTGCATTATGGGACTTTGATCTTTGCTCCAACAACTTTTAATGTTGAAAATTTTGAAAAAAAGGGACTTTTATTAACATCTTAATAATTTGGAGTGATGTATCATGGTGTAAATTACAGTACAATATCCTGGTAATAAACTGCGAGTACTTTCTGTTGTTTTACAAACTTAATTCTTATACATTACTTATTATACAAAATATAAGGCCCATCATACACCTGTCGCAATAAGGGGCAAGATGTGTTTGGCGCGTTTTATTGCTATTTTTAGACCAGCGCAACTGTCATTTTGACGTTTTGCGTCGAGTTGTTTAAATAGCAAATCCATTTGCGCCATGGGTGTGCCAGTCTAAAAAGGTGTGTTAAGGCGCATTGTTGGGGGAGGGGGGGTGGCAGTTTATTCATGACAATCTGCAATTGTATATTATTATTATTGATTATATGCATATTTACATTTGTTTTGATAAAAACAAGTTTAGATTTGTCCGCCTGTGAGGTTTTGGAGACGTCTTCATCACCATATGGGGCATAAGAACAGGACGTGTGCTTGGATATATTAGTTTTTTTGACCACACTTCATTATTATTGTTCATTTATTAGTTTTCTGGAGATTAGAACTGAATTTAGAAATCGTTTTGAAACAAATCTTTGCGCTTAAGAAACGAAATAAATATGTCGGCTGATGGATGTCTTCAGTGGAGCGAGTTTCCACCCTTCAAACATCAAACATCAAAGTAAAGGAGTAAAGTAAAGAGAAAGTAAAAAGGCTGAATGGAGGAGGCTCGTTCTTTATCCTCGCGCTGCAGATGCTCTATTTAACTGTTTTCTCGCTAGCGAATGGTTCAGTTTTTCCACTTACTAAGTCTGCCATGTAAATAATAAATGCACCATGGCACGACGCAACTAGCTCTTAAAGAGAATGGGAGACGAGGCTCTGATCGATTTAATGCAGGTTATGCTCAAAACACACCCAGAACTCATAAAGAGAATAAGCTCAATCTTGTTAGACCATGCGCCCAGGCACAGAATGTATTTCTCCGTCCATAAAATAGCAGGATTTGGACACACCCCTAATGCTTTGTACCATGCACTTTAGACTTTGCACCTAGATCATTAAAATAGAGCCCATAGTTCCAAACTATTAAAATGTCAATAAAAGTCACCTTGTTAAACTGTAAGGTGGAATTTTCAATATCAAAAGTTGACATATTAGAGGTAAAAGTCCCACAATGCAATTCACAACCGTAAATAAACACAAAATCTAGAAAATGTTAATTAATATATAATTTTACAGTCTAAGATTGTAGACTCTAACATGGACGTTTAATAAAAGGCATGGCATCATTAATATAAAACAAAAACACTGGAAAAAAAGCGCAGAGTTGTTGAAAAGTATGAATACACATGATAAAACATAGCACACAACGCAAACATCAAGAGTACAAAGTAACATTCTGCAGTAAATGTGTGTGTAGTCCACTGAGCTGAATTGGCCACTCATGTGATTGATTGTGTGTGTGTTTCTCATTGATAGTTCTGATGTTGTGTCAACATGCAGTCATGTTTCCCTTAGAGGACAAATAATTTTGGGATGCTTTCTCAAACATCTCCAAATGAAGTACAAAATATGCATATAACAAGTAACTTCCAGATATGGCACCGATGGCTTTACTTTCTCAGGTCTTGCACTGTCCGTTTCTCACTTTGAGAAACACTGAATTATTAGTGTTGGTGTGTTCCTAAAGTCTTATATGTGATATTATTTTTAATGCTTTTGAATAAGTTGAGGTATGGTAGCTTATTTCTACTGTGGAATAAAAAAGTATATATATATATATATATATATATATATATATATATATATATATATATATATATATATATATATATATA